CCTTCTTGATCCATGGTATTGAACTGTTCAAATAATTTTGATAAAGAAAAATATCTATTGATATATACATATTAACATGGTAGTGTAGTTTGTTTTACTTCATTTTAACACACATACATGCATAGTAAACACAAATAAAGGTATATCTGTACATGTATACATACATATGGAAATAGATACTCAATGAATTCATTCACATGGACAAAATAAACTGATGATATAAACTGTCAGATAAGAAATTTGTCATTTAAGGTAAACAGTTTTAAATATTTTCTATAAATAACCAGAAATGGAATAGTGGGATGGATGTAGTCAGTTTTTTATATTGTAGAGAAAGTTATGCAGAAGGAAAGCACTCTCGGCCATATGAAAATGAATATGTCGATGACTTAATGTAAACAAATGACGAAATGATGTTGATTAATAGTTATATGGATTGTTTCGTTCACTGTTACAAAAACAAACATGTGACTAAGGTCAAAGGCACTGGATGAAACATTTTAATCTCTCAAATAAAAGAACATTTTTTTGCTATGAAATTTCATTTAATTCCTAAATTATTTAAAAGGATAAAGTTTTGTTTATATAATTCCAACATCGAATGAGTATCACTCATTTGTTTTCGCTAATGAAGATAAATTAATCTCAGGTTAAACGTTTTTGTCAAATTTCCCGCATCACAGTTTAATTTGTGTTTGAATCAACCAATTGAGTCAAAAGCGGTATATAATAAATTAACTGGATGCCGGCTCAGTGGTCTAGACGTTAAGCGCGAAACCGATAGATCCTGGGTTCGAATCTCGCGGGGCGGGATCGTGGATGCACACTGCTGAGGCGTTCCACAATAGGACGAAACGACTGTCCAGTGCTTCCAGGTTTTCCATGATGGTCTAGCTTCAAATGCCTCATGATATCAACTATTAAAATTACTATAATATCCACAAGAAGCCCCTTCTGATATTAATTGAAACATATTTGTCCCATTTTCGTCAGTAAAGCTTAAATAATATACTACTACAACAATACTACTAGTAACAATAATAATAATTATTATTATGTTCCGTGCTTTATATCAGCTTTAACTGACTTAGTGATCTAAAGCTATTGTGGTTAACTATACGCAGTCGTAACTGAATAGTTCCCGTAGATCTCAGGCGTTAACAAATCACCTACTCATTGCTTGAATTCGTGATGACATTTTAGGTGACATCAGTTTTTGGTGAACATATTCCTGAACTTGTGCAAGTCTCCATAAGAATAAGTTCTTGAAATACGAATAACAGTTCTATGCTATGAAATGAAAAGATAACTTTTTTCGGCTCCGTTTTTTAATCTAGAAATATTTCCAAATATTTTAGATGAATAGAAAATTAAATGAGGTTTGATAGTATAGTTGAAAAGTAGTTGCTGTTGTACAGTTCCAACCATTCCTTATGTCCTTTTAAATCATAAAAAAACTGTCTTCTGTGAATTCTTTTTTTACTCAGTGATACAACGGGTTGTTTTAATCATTTAATGACTTGTAAAGATCCTGCTGCAATAAGGAAACTCAGTTAGTTTCTTTGTGTTTTTCTCTCAAGCTCATTATATAGAATGATAGAATTATTCTTTTAGAAAATCTGTATAGATAAACAAGAATACCATAGACTATAAGATGAATATTGCTCCATATTTTTAATTTAATAATCTCATTTATTCCTTATTGATAATATTCCCCTTTCTTATAGCTAAGCACTGTGAACTGGATAAAATTATTTCCTTTTTGTCTAATTTTCATTTTGTAATTATGTATGTTGTAGAAAATTGGACCGTACTGTGTCAGTTGTCTTGATTTTGACTGAATGACTAAGTAATCTGTTCCAGGTTTGTTCAATATTTTTCAGAGACAAATAATAAATGGTTAAAAATGTAATCTAAAATGTAAACACAAGTTTTAATTAAAGTCGTTTCATCCTATTTGAGACTGGTCACCTGAATGTACCTAGATCTCAATGTTGATATTAACATTGACATTTGAACACAGCACATTTTATTTTAAACACTCAACACGTTATCCACTTGGCTACAAGATGGTGTAACATATGAATTTCTCTTTAATTATAAGTATTTATATTTTTCAGTTGTTAATGTTAAGGACTGATAATCAATATCCAAATCTAATTAAGACCTGATGAAGATTTTCCAACAGAGTTTGCAAGTCTTAATATCAACTACAGTAAAATAAAATCCTTACAAGTAATGCAGTGTAAATACGTGGGTGAAGTTTTAGAACCATCGTTACTTGAATACATGTCATCATAATAGATTTGTCATGTCTCAATGTAATAATCAGTCAGTACAGATGAATCATTTATTTATTTATTCAGTTCTATTTACCACCAATAAGGAAATGTTTAGTTTATTACGTCATAATTCATAAATAAAGTCAAGTAGTATAGAATTTGGTTACTATGTTGTCCATTCATCTCATTAATTAAACTAATCTTTATGCACATATGTAATGGAAGGTAACTTTCTAGATGTTGCTCTCCTTCCGTTATCCATCTCTTTGCATATATATATCACCATACCAAACATTGTTCATTTATGACAAACTAATCTCTTAATGCTATTATTATCATATCATAATGGCTTTTTGTTCGCCTGTGTGTACATATTATGCAATATCTAATAATTGCAGAATTAATGATGAAACTATGCGCATATGTGAATGTATGAATCTGTGTGCTATAATAAGATGGATTGAAAGGGTTGTTTGACGGGGGGTGGTATAATTGTGATGTATGTTTTATATCACATTATTTTTGCTATTTATATGTTAATTATTTATCAATTCATATTGATGAAATAATTAACTGATATCTCTATTAAGTTCATTTAAGATAAATTTATTTCGTCAGTTGCTCTAGTTTACTGTTTCATTTTTTGTATGACTTTCAATGATGCGAACGACAACCATTCTAATGATGAGTGTTCATATCTTGAAATTGATTGACATTTACATAGTTTTAATCTAAGTCATAGTAACTAACCCACATGTAATTAAATATATACAATTTCAAAATAAACATTATACATTCATAAGAAGTATTTAATAAAGAGTTAAACGAATTATAAAACTGACCACTTAATCATTTATTAAATAAGATTTGAAAAGTTTACATTGATTGATCTCTCCACTCTCTCCGATTGTGACAGGTTGAAATCATGCAAGAACCAACAATTTCCTCGGACTTACTGATGCCAACTAATATGAAACCTAGATTTAAAATTTTCTATCCGTCTCCTTCAATCAAATAAAATTTAAATTCTAAAGTGATACTAGTGACTTGGGTTGAGATCACACAGGGTGCAACAGTTCCTTCAAAAATATAATAAGTTTTTCTGATGACTGTCTACGATCACATTACATAATGTAGTCAACAATTAGACTAACATCGAAACTGTATTGTAAATGGTCTTGAGCGGTATAAGTAGTTATAACTTTTTAAAACTCACTTATCATGTATTTGACACAATCATAACTGATTAAATACGCAACCTTCTCGACTATATCTGAAGGTTCAACACCAAAGGTGAATACAAAGTGAGATTTCTCTAACCTTCTAGAGACAGTTAACATTGATGTAAATCCCTCAAAGTACATTATTACCGTTAAAAATACAGACATCTCTTGAGGTTGAGTACTATCTAACACGAAACTTAGATTCACTGTTTCTTCCAGACTATTTTGAATCATGCAACATCAAAACATAGAGTACATGATGTCAAATCAATCACACAAATAACCAAATTGCAACTTGGTCAATTGAATTCACTTAGCCTCATGGACTAAACAAATATAACTTTGGTCACTAATCAGTAATCAATAATTGTAAATTACATTAGATTACAATTTGACGTGTTGAAAATTTTTAATCGTTTTAGTACATTTTGATAAATACAATCCCCATATAGCTGTAAACTTGCAAAGAAATTTTCTATTTATGATTTATTAGTAATTATCTATATTTTCAATGATAGACATTGTTGTATAAGGATTAAAGGCGAATGAAGACTGTTGTGAGACTGAATAAAGTATCATAACCCATCTTTGAGAAAAAGCCAACATTCTGGTCTGATCAGATGCACGAATGCCATTAATGTGTTTTCATTGTGATAACTGTTCAACATACCATATGAACTGAGTTTGTAAATGTGAACCATTAAATTACAATTTAATAGTATGGTTTGATTTCTTGTGAAGTTGTTTATAAGGACGGGAAATAAATTTTTATTTAGAACTAAATAGCTGTCATGTAATCCCTGTTTTTCGCTAGTTCTCTAGTTGAGGTCACTTTATGATGAGATACACGGATCACGAAGTCATAGAAAATGGTGTTCATAGTGTTTTCAATCTTACACGTATTGCGATCTTGGTGATTGTTTGGTTTTATAAAAGTTTAATGTAAAAGGAATTGTAAAAGTCTTTACGATTTCCATGTTTAAATGTGAACTAACAGACAGACAACAATATCTGAGCAATAGGACATAAATTAAACAACCACGAAGTGATTCATAATAAATGAACATAGATACCAACTTTTTTAAAAAAGCTCTCAATCGGCAACTTCTCCGTATCAGATCAATTTATCAGTGGTTCGTTTAAGAGCCTTATCCTTTGCTTGGCAATATAGGATAAGTTACTTTTCCGTTAGCTTCTAAAATAACCTTAACACAAAGTTCTAAGGTTTTTACTTCATGTTATTCACTTTAGTCGACAGCGGTATAACTAAATGATTTCAACATGAGCATAAGTAATCTTGAAATAGAATTATTGCTTATTACCATACATTATTTAATGTGGATGAATAAATTTGTTTACAACATTTCATTCATTATACTCCAACCGTCTGTGTTTAGTTCAACTTTCCAGTAATGAATGTTGATTATCTGTTTCATTAATCTATAAAACTGATTAAACTGTGTAATTTTGTTTAAATTCTTTAACTACTTTTTAGAGAGAGCAGAATTCTCAAATAAACTAACATTGACTGAAACACAAGTGAAAATATGGTTTCAAAATCGTCGAGCAAAAGCTAAACGTTTACAAGAGGTTGAAACCGGCAAATATCATCTATCACCAAATGAAAATTTAGAGACAGCTTTAATTGCAGCCATGTCATCAGCAAATCATGCATCACAATTAGGTACAACAAGTAGTAATAATAATAATGATAAAAATTATACAGATTCTGTGGATATGATAGCTCATGATATGACATCATTTCATACTGTTCCAATATCACCACCACTTTCTATATCATCAACACCGGTTATTTCGTCTCCTTTATTACCTCAGTCAAAATTTCCTTTTCATTCTGTGTCCACTTCTCGAATTCCACTATCTTCTAACACACCAAATTCATCACATCAATATTTATGTTCATGTATTTCTCCTAATCACCAGTGTTCATACAAATCAACAGAACTGACTAGAGATAATATTCTACATCTTCCTACGACTAGTATGCTTTCATCTTTCTCAAATTTATCATCACCATTATCCACAGACCATTTGTATACACATAATCATCACCTTAACGTCAATAATAATAATAATAATAATAATAATAATAATAATAATAATAATAATGGCAAAGTACATTCAAATTATGATTGTGAACAAATTTCATTTAATCCCAATAAACCAAAGTTATCATCAATTAAAAACTTTTCACATGATGACTTTCAACATCAACTACAAAGTATAGAAACAGTAAACTCTAAACATTTTTCCACAACAAATGTTGATAATAATAATAATACGTCTCTTTTATCCTTTACTAAAAGTCATCCTAATAAAAATATCCCTTCTAATGATATGATTACTACTAATTGTATTAATAAGAACAATTTAAATGGTACAACACATAAAACATCAAAGCATACAATATCTTATTTTTCAAATGGGCAACGAATTGACAATCAACATGATAATCATAGTAGACTTATTAAGAATGATAGTAGCGATAATAATAATAATAATAATAATCATGATAATAATAAAGATAATTTAACGAATATGAAATATGATTCTATGCTTGATTTTCAATCAATACTTAATAATCTTCAATCCAATTCAAATGGGATAAATAATTTGAAAACAGTTGAAACATTGAATGATCCATTGTCATTGTTATGTGCAGCTAATCATTACTATCAACAATATAATCAAAATAAAGAAATAGACCATAATTATTCAATTGATTTAAATAATAATCACAATCCAAGTATGTTTATAAATCGTTATATATTCAATAAACCTTAACACAGATTTTATTTGAAAATCACTTATAAATAAAACCCCGGTGACCGATTAGTATAAGACCACTTGGTACTTTAATAGCTTTCTGATAACATCACTGACTGTAATAGTGAGTTATACAGGTATAGATCATGTGCTTATTGTCGATGCTTTTATGATTGAAGATATGACTTGCAAACGGTTTGTCGAATGTCACGAATCCTGAAACCATCTATCTATCTATCTGTCTATCTTTCTATCTACTTAATTATTTGTATACATATTGTAAATTATATTTAAGAGAACATTTTGATTTTAATTGGAAAGTTACTCAAATTGTAGTATATTATAGGTACCTGTTTATAAGTCAGAAATGTCATGTTTAATTGTTATATATTATGCCGAAAGTTTATTCATAGATAACCATTTAAGAAGAATAAATAGGATATGTATTGCATTGAAAAGGGAAAATGAACACAAATAGTTCTTTGTACAATTGTTTATTTACGTTAATAATTCAAGTAGCCTACATTTTAAATGCATGTTGTTGATAGCTAGATAATAGCTATGATATCCCGCATCCTATAATTAGTATTGTCATATATATATATATATATATATATATATATATATATATATATATATATGCCAGATAATAATGCTTCATCTGTCTTGCATATCATCGCCATTATTTTTATTCATCTTAGTATCAGTTTACTAACTAATGGTAAGTATCCTAGTGCAACTTGGAATGGGTATTGTAAAAATAAATATCTATTGTTTCCTACTCAGTATTATCATTTTTATTTCCCAAATCGTTTAAAAAGATGGATGGATATGGGTGCGAAAATAGCAAACATTAAAATAAAAACAAACTCAACTTACTAGAAAGCTACTATAGAACAAGATTGTATTTGTTTACGTGGGTGTGAATATATGTATATTTATTTGCGCAGTAACCCACAAAATTCTATTCATTTGTATGTATACACATTAATAGGTATATTTCTAAATTATAGCAACTCGGTGTGAAACTATGCATATATAGTATAACTGTATAAATGATTATTTATTTGTGAATTTTAGTTTGTTATATTGGTTTTTTTGTAGTTTTAAATCACAGGCTGATTTTTATTAGATAACCAGGAAAAATCATAAACTAATGAACATGTATTTCATTCAAATACATGACTTTTCAGTATTCTGTATCGGCTGCCTCACCAAGGAACGAGACCAGGACCTTCAGGCCATAGGACTAATACTTAAACTTCAGATCACTAAATCGGCATTCAGTGGTTTACATTTCCAACTTTATTTAATTCGTAATATTGCGTAACCATCATAAATTACCATTGATAATAACTGTCTGATTGTCGATAGGGCTAAACTCTGGTACGGCCGAGAGTGTGGAGAGTTCGCTCTCCCTCTCGAAATGCTCTCACATGGCCACGCGTATATAGCCTCTGCTAGGGAAGTCCTACTCACTGCCTTCTCGTGGCAGGGGTGTTGTTTACGAAAATGAGAGGACGAAAACCGAATGTCTGGCGCTTCAACCGGATCCCGAACCAATGGTGCACATGGGCTCCAGTATCCTGCGGGAACAAATGGCGTATGAACCAATTGCTGGTCACCGGCTTCCATGGGACTGCATCTCCTTACGATGTTCCACTGCCTTGTGGATCAGACCTTCAGGTCGAAGGCTCGGGCAGTGGCCTCCTAAGAAAACCACCTGCTTCGGTTTGGGCACCCGGGCAGTATCACAGCCCTCACACTTGTCGAGTGAGATTTGTGTGGCGCATATGTATTTGGTGTCTCCTTGTACCAATATCTATGTGTTAAAATAAATAAATAAACAAATACTGGTCACTGCTTCCAACTATAACTCTAGGAATCACCTTATGAAGTCATTCACCAGTAAGTGATAATGGTTTGGTTTAAGCTGGAAATATTAACAACTAGATGCTAACGCATTATCTGAAGGCTGAGCTATTGTCAAGAGACCTGAAGTTTTTTGAGTTCGATACGCAGTAGGATCATGGATGTGCATTATACTCATTTTTAAAACAAAACAATTTATTCCAGAATTGAGATATTACTGAACAAATGAGTAATAGATTGATAAATTAACTTTAAAGGACTAAGCATTCTTTTTATATATTTCATTACATTGAAAACAACAAATGAATACATAATTACATGCATTTTATCAACTATACTCTGGATGTATATTTAATGATAATAGTGGTAGGAGAGCATTTTAATTTTTCATTTAGTTCATATCAAGTAATATATTTCAATAATTTTCTAATAAACGTTTTGTGAAATTTTATTTAATATTCGAAAAACTACTAAGTATATTTAAATAATATATGTACATGTGTGTGTGTACATGTAGGTGTTAAAAATTGGTTCACCTATAAATTTGAATATTCAATTATTATTCATCACACAGTTAATCGAAATTATATTTATGTAAATGAAATTAACTACTGACAAATGACTTTCAGTATATATATATATATATATATATATATATATATATATATATATATATATATATATTGAAAGTCGGTCAGAAGAACACAAGGAACGTTCACACATACTGATGCCACACAAACCCGAGTCCAGGGTTTCTTGTTGACTACCTCCAACCGCTATCTAGTTATCTTTGTTTCTGATATTAGTGGTATTTTTTTCAACACATATAAATTATAATAGTTGAGATTATGAGTCAGTTGAATTTAGACCACCATGAAAACCTGAACGCACTGGACGGCCTTTTCGTCCTATTTTGGGACTCCTCAGCAGTGCGCACCCACGATCCCGCCTCCCAAGATTTGAACCCAGGACCTATAAGTCTTGCGCACGAACCTCTAGACCACTGAGTCGTTATCCAAGGTTGTTAATGTCTGACTCCAACTAATCCACAAAACTGATTGACACATCCGCCATTATCTTCAATGAGTTATCTCACAACAGATCCGGTTGAAGTATTAGTATATTTATTCAGGTTACGTAAATAAGATTGACAACTGAAGATTGATTAGTCATTCTGATATATTCATAACGCATAAAAAATAATAATGAATAACTAGCATCTAATCGGTAAGTATATTATGTTACTAAGACTAGTCTATTACAAAAAAAATATAAAAGAAGTTACAAGTTTACTAATTTGAAGCGGATGCGGAAGTAGGATCACATTTAATTGGAAATATTATTTCTCCTTGTTACAGACTAAATAACATATTTGGTAAAAACGTGAATATATTTGACAAGTATAAATGAATAATTATTCTATCTAATAGGTTGGGAATGACTCAAACAGGTGAAGATGCCATTATTTTGTATGTGATAAAAATAGTAAATAGAGAAAATAATGAAAAATTTTGAATCAAGTTTTCATAGAAGTTTTAAAATTGAAACTATGTATATATCTTATAATCAGTCGTACTAAGTAAAAATCTTATAATACCCTTTACAGTTTTGTTACTATTTCAAAAGAGAATGAATCGAGCAAGATATTCGTTTACAACTTACATTACAGATTGACCTTAGTTACACAACCATTGGAAACCACTAAGCACTAGACAGTTATTTCATTTTAGTATGGAAATCCTTAGCAGTTCGTAACATAAACTCCATCAAGGACTGGACCAAGAATCTTCAGACCCTACAACCAGTGCTTGAATTTCAGACCACTGAGTTAGCAATTGGTAGTTTATGTTTCTAACCTCAGTTAATTTGTAATATTACACCACCGTCATCTAATAATATTTGTAAGCAACTGCCTGACATGCAACTTAGCTTAAATTCATTGGTCACGGTCTCCTAGTTTCCGTCAGTTTTTTTTATTAAAGTCATTTCGTGAGATATACTGTGAAATTCAATAATCCCCACAAACTCCTCATATAATAAATATCTATTTAGTTGCTTATTTGTAGAGAATACTTTGCTTTCAAGATAATTTTCAGTATCAGATAGTGATTCCTTTGGAAATCAGGAAATACCGATTGGGCGTTTCACCCTAATATGAGATTCATTAACAATGTATACTAAAGAGTTCAATATGGACCGGGACTCATAATTCGGATATCGCGTGGTGAATATTAAGACAAATTAAGATATGTGACTTTGAATTAAGTGTACCATATTTTTAAATAAAGTTGTTTCATCATATAGTGTAACTGTTGTACAATATCGGTGATAAACACTTCACTCTATATCAAATCAAACCTCATTAGCCATAATTTCACTCGTTAATTGAATAAGAGTTTGAAATTTTATTTATTAAATCGGGATTAGGTGGCTCAAAATTAAGATGACCAGTACGAGACTTGAATATCTTCTTTTCATTCAATGACATATGGATAAGTTGATTTTAAATATTTATTAAAAGTGAGCTAAAAAATTATTATTTAACATTCTATACGGTTTTTTATGTTTTTCTAGTTAATTTCACTTGGTTAATTTTACTATCCGTCGATATATGTATATGAAAGAGGGAAAAACAAGAAGGGTAATGGTTCGCCACAATATTTTAAGGTTCTGGGCTCTATTCCATGAGGATCATGGATGACGTATATTTGGTGGTTGGAACCATTTGATTTTTCTTGACACTTTTATTCCTCAACAAATTTTGTTTATAATTCTGAATGAATTGATGTTTCACCTGGAATTCGAATTTGTATCACAACTGTCAGTCACAACCGAAGATGGTAACACTAAATCACTCAGGTTTTGACTGACCTTTTTTAGGACTGAATTATCTACACATTCGGTAGTATCCGTTGCCATATATATATATGAACGTTATTTTTTATGCCATCTTTGTGAGCTTAATTTAGGAATTTTAAAGGTACTATAGTCTCTAGTTTACCAATTAAGATTTTCAAAGTATTCGAACATTTAATATATAATTGTGAGCAAAATTTCGTGTATACAGTTGCTTTATGAGTATAGCAGCCTAGTAGTTACAGCAGTTAT